AGCTTTTATATTGTCACTGTTGATGAGGGGGCTTCCTGACAGCAAGCCCAGGAGATGTCAGGCACGCTGTGGATGGCATGTGCAGTGTCTGTCCATGAGGACGAGCCAGGAGGCTCCACAGTGTGAGGACAGTAGGAAAAGAAGCCGCAGCGACCAATGCTTTGCAGTTCAACATTCATGTCTCGCTGCTCTGATGACCTGCGTTACAGAAGGATCTTCCTTTAAGGTGAAAGCCAGGGGACCAAAGGACATGGGGTACTTCATGGGGAAGTGCACACCCCAGGATGGCTGGCAGGCTGTGCTCCTCCTGCATGTGTGCTACAGCGGCAAAAGAACCCCAAGAGAGGGCTTTGGCTGGGATTTTTCCTTTTCTTCAATTTTTTGCTTTTATTAGTCTATGCTTGCAGTACGTATTTATTACAATCCTCGTGGGGAGCTGGCCCATGTACATAACACATCTCCTTTCTTTTCTTCCCCTTCCTCTCCCCTCCCTTCCCTTTTCCTTCCATCTCTCGGTCCCTTCCCATGTTTAAAAAGATCGATCTCCCTACTTCCCATTATTCATCTTTTATTTCGCTCTTTATTATATTTTGAGTTTCTCACATAAGAGAAACCATATGATCTTTAAGCTTGTGTGTCTGATTTATTTCACTTAACATTGTGATCTCGAGGTGCATCCATTTTTCCACAAATAACTCAGATGTATGCTTTCTGGCAGAGTAGCACTCCATTGTGTGTAAATACCACATTTTCTTTATCCATTCATCTGTTGATGGGCACCTAGGCTACTTCCGTGATTTAGCTATCATGAGTTGTGCTGCAATAAAAATGAGTATGCATATGTCCCTGTCACATAATGGCTTTAACTCTTTGGGGAAGATACCTAGAAGGGGAACAGCTGAGTAAAATGTAATTTCTAATTTTGGACTTCGGAGGAATCACCAGACTGATGTCCACAGTGGTTTCATTAACAAGGTAGAAGGGTTCTTTTTTTCCCCACCAGCAGTTGCTATTATTTGATTTCTTGATGCTGGCCATTCTTTCTGGAATCAGATGGAACTTCAATGTTGTTTTTATTTGCATTTCTCTAACGGCCAGAGATGTTGAATGTTCTTTCATGTATTTATTGGGCATTTGTACTTCTTCTGAGAAGCATCTATATGGCACCTGGAAAGGCAACTGAATGGGAAAGCAGAGGATTTTGAGTGGAGTTGGCATCCCCTCTTCTCCTCTCTTTTTATTTATTTATTTATTTTTTTTTGGTACCGGGGATCGAACTTGGGACCTTGAGCTTGTGAAGCAGGTGGCGGAACTACTAAGCTAAATCTCTGGTCCGGCATCCCCTTATTTCATTACTTTTTGCATTTTTAATATATTTTTCTGTTTAAATGAATTTCAAAGGAACGCTAGCAACAAAATAGTAAAAAGTTTTGCATTGCCCCAGGATTTTCATCTTATTACATTCACCAAGAAGAGTTTGAAGCCAGACTTACTGGTCCTTCATGATTTCTCCACTAATGAATAAGAATGAAAGTTATTCTTTGGCCTCGCATAGGCCTTAGTCTGAACTATAACCCTTAATAAACTGGGCGTATGCCACAATGAGTACTACAAACATACCAATAAATTTTTTTAATCAAGTGTGTGAGCAAAGGCCCTGCATAGACTATTAAACCAGTGGTTCTGCCAGGTGGGGTGGCACATGACTGTGATCCCAGCACTCAGGAGGCTGAGGCAGGAGCGGTGCCACAAGCTCAAGCTCAGCCAGGGTTACATGATGTCCAGGCTGGCCACCAGGAATTTGTTAAAAGTTCACCAAGTCATTCTAATTAGTTTTCTTTAGAACCGCTGACCTAGGTAGGTTAACCTAGAATGGCTAAAATTCAAGGAACTGACGATCTAAGTGTTGGTGAGGCTACGAAGCAACTAGAACTCTCTCACACTTTGCTTAGGGGATTGTCAATTGGAACAACGACTAAGGGAAATTTTTGGCAGTGTGGATTAAAACATACACCTACTCTGTCACCCAGTTCCACTCCTGGATACATACCAGTATTGTCTTCGTTACTTTTTTATCACTGAGACATAATACCCAACATCCAAGACTTATGGGAGGAGAGTTTTATTTGGGGGTCACATTTCAGTCCTTAGTCTTCTGGCTCCAACGCAGGACACAGTATGAAGAGGGGCATGCAGAGGAGCTGCTCATGTCATGGGAGCAAGGAAGCAGAGAGGATCAAAGGAGGATCTGGGACAGGAGATACACCCCTTCAGGTCATGCGACAGTGACTTCCTCTTCTTCCAGACCCTGCTTGTTAATGGCAAGCCAGCTATACTTCCCCCATTATCCGATCACCTCCTGCCTATGAGCACGTGAGGCTTTACAGGGACACTAGGTATAAACCATAACAATACTCAAGAGAATAAATGCATATGTCCACCAAAAGGCGTGGATAAAAAAGGCTCAACGCAGCATTATTTATTATAGTGCAAAACTTAAGGAAACTCAAATATCTATCAATAGTAAAATGGATACTACACAGAAGGAAAAATCACAACAGGGGTGAATTCTGTAGACATAACATGAGTGACAGAAGCTACACACGAGTACACACAATGAGTCCATTTTCGTGAAGCTCAAACAGATACAAAACTACTCATCAGACACAGAGGTCAAAGGGAAGAAGTTGCCCATGGTGAAGGGAGGAGCAGACAGAGGAAGCCCTGGGGAAGAACCATTTATAGGTACCTTAATCCCGGTGATGATTAGCTGGGTGTGTATGTATATATGTATATGCAGATAAATTTTTACCAAGATGCAACTTTAGTATTTGTCCACTGCACTGTATTGAAGTTATTCCTCAGCAAAAGGAACTAAAATACATAACTTAAGCATTGATGACAACTACATCAAAGAGGCTATGCCAAAGAAGGAAGTCCTTAAACAGTTTTTTAAAGTGAAACATTTAAACTAGGTGAAAAAATGTTTTGAAATCAGAGGCATAGTCTCCCTCCCCATCCTCCCCATCCAGTCTAGCTGGTGTCTTTGAAACAAGGTACTCAGCATATACTTGTCACACAGCTGGTTTAATTCATCCCTGGGCCACCAGTCTGACACTGCCTGGTCTCTGCAGCAATGAAGTCTTAAGTCTCCTTGCTCTGGGGATGTTCACTGCTTCTCTGTCATTTCACTTGCACCAGTCTAAGATACACTGCAGAACTAAACAGAAGGCTTCTATTTCTACAGTCTAGGCCTTTTCGTTGTTTCCATACATTCTGTAACCCCTGAGATTTGAATCCTCCTCCTCCTCCTCCTCTCGCTCCCCTTCCTCTTCTTCCTAATTTCATGCATTATGTTCCGTGACCTACAACAAAATCTTCACTTAAGTTTCATGTTTAGTCCCGGTGTTTAATCAGAAAATGAACATAAGTCAGCACCTTAGGACTCAGAAACGTGCAGTTTCACTGACCTCATTCCATGGAAAACATCTGTAACTGTTCTGGGAATGACGTGTAGCCTTAGCCTACGGAGAGGACCCATAAAGGGTTTTGCTGTGTTCCCTGGGAATTGACAGGAAAGGGTTGTCTGTGTGATTTTAAAATATTAATATTGCCACTCAGAAACTTAGTAAGAATTAAAAGGAGGTTTCTACTGTACTGAAGGAAATTCTTCAGAAAGAATTCCAGAGTATTGAAACAGCTGAACAAGAATTTGAAAACAAAGACCGCAAAACTGAGTATAACTAATTCTCATAGGAATGAGTACTTTTATAGATTGCCTACTTAAAAATTGCCCAAGAGAATTAAATTCTCAGTAATCTTTTTAGTGTCCATTGCCAGCCCTATTATAGATTCATTCTTGATGAAGTAACTCAGCACTGCTCCACAGCACCTTCTGCAGCAACACATATGTTCTCCAGTTGTGTGTGATCCAAAATGGCACCCAATGGCCCCGGATGACCACTGAGAACCTGACACTTGGCTACTGCAGTTGAGGAAATTGCTTCTTAAATTGTATCTGAATGTAAATAGGCAACTGTAGTGGACAGGGAGGGACTGCACAGTAAGTATAATTTGCCTCTTAAGTCACATAATGTATTTCCTTCACACCAGAGGAAAACCTGGATCCTGAGTCGTTTTTGTTTTTCTGAATTTTGCCTAATTTCTTTTCAGTACCAGAAGTTGCAAGCCAGTTGAGCATTCACAACCGGACCTTGGTGCTTTTGTGTGGAACAAAAATAATTTCACAGAACATCAGCATCACATAAGGGTACTCTTCGACGGTGACGGATCATGGGAAGACAAGACTCCTTTGTAATCATGCCTTGATACTGACAAAAACATAAACACTGTCCAAACCACACAAAAATATGATCAGACATACCCCAATATGACCATTGTGAGTCACTGCTCTTGTCCTCCCTTGTTGTGGATAAGATTCACACTACTCAATCACAGAATCACCCAGCATCCACACCAGAAAACTCGGCTTCCTTAAGGCTTTGCCTCAATTATTTTGGAGCAGTGGATCAGCAAAAGAGACGGTCACATTCTCAAGTTCACTGTGGAGGCAAAGGACGTGCATAGGTGAGACGTTCAGAATGCGCCTACTTAATATTTACAAATACTTTCAGCTACTGATGTATGAGACTGAAATCAATACTTGTTGCATTACTGTTATGTCCGGTTATTTCAAAACTCTAGCTAAGCACGGTCACGACTGTCTTGATAGAAAGCAGACAGGGTCAACTGGATGGTAGTTTAACAAACCATGCTGCTGAATAAAAACAACAGCATCCGGTTTAGTTTCACTTCTGGCCCACCCGTACCACAGCCCCTCCCTCAGAGAAACCGCAGAGGGACCGCCCACATCCGCAGATCTTTCTGCTCAGGCGCTATTTCCCTAGTACGCATGCGCTGGTCCTAGGCTTGCGTTCTCGGCTCGGAAGCTTGGATTGGTTGATTGCTCTAGCCCTGGGAACCGGAAGTCCTCTCTGGACGGGGAGGGGCTGACGTCGCCGTGGCTGCGCCTGCGCTTTTCGCTGAGCTACATTTCAGGCCTGTGTTTCAGGGAAGGCCTAGTCTCTGTTTTCAGTTAAGGCCACCCTTGCTCGCGGAGGCTCTCCGGTGCGTTGTGGGCCGAATAGGCCCTATCCCGCACCCTTCTCCCCTCCAGCCCAGTTCTGTGGTGTGGGCAGACCTTTCCAGGCCGCCGCTGCTCGCGCGCAGGCTTCGGGGCTGTCACTCCAGCACGGTTAGCGGCAAGCCTTGCTGGGGTGCTCGGCCCCACCCACCGGAACCGGTCCCCTGCCCGGGTGGGGTCGTGAGCTGTCCTTCCCCTGGCTACAGCTTTTCTCGGGATCATCATTCGGGGAAGGATCCTAACGAGGTGTTGTAATGCCCCGCCACCATTGGGCATAATTTTTTTCTGTAGAAGGGACTCCTCGTGAAGGTGGAGCGTTTGGTGGGGGCTCAGGCTACAAAGTTTCTCTAAATCTTAAAAAGATCTAAACAAATCTGGATTCCCAGTTTAGGAAATTTTCACTATGATCTTTTTACGTTTCTCAGGGTTGAGGCTGTTTTAGTGCAGGTGTGTGAACCTTACCCGTAAATTAGTTTTTATTGACAAGCTTTTATATGCACTCAGCAAATATTTAGGGCCTACTCTTGCTGGGACTGTAAAAACTTTTTTAAAATATGTGTTCAGTAGTTAGAGGTACAGGTGTATATCTGAACATTATCCCCTTTAGCATATGTTCTGAAACTGCTGTCCAGTAGTGTAGCTACTGGTTCCATGGAGCTTGAACACTGAAAATGTGACTAGTCAGAACTGAGATAAGCTGTTAGTGCAGCAAATTTTGGGGAAATTCATACCAAAACCCTCAATTTGTTTATATCAGTTACATGTTTAAAAAACAGTGTTGAGGGCCAGGCAGATGTAGTTTAGCGATAGAGTACATGCTTTGTCCCTTGTTAAATCCCCAGCACCATATTGATAAAAGGAGAAAGAAAAGAATATTTGGGATGCACTGGCTTACCATAACATATTAATAATATATTATTAACTACATTTATATAATTATATATTTGTATTTCCGTAAATATATATTTATATCAATTATATTTAGGTAATTGATTATAGCTATATATCTGTATATTTTTAAATACATATTTATAAATAGTACTTATATAGAAATATATTTTGTTTATAAATAAATATATACGTTTATGCTTATTCTATAATTATGTAATATGTTGTGTAATACAGATATTGTGATGCATTATATAGTTGATATAATTATTTTCACCTATTTTTTTTTCTGTCTATTGGAAAATTTTGTATTTAACTTGAATTCTATTTCTCTGAGCTAACACTGATCTAGAAAAGGATCGACAAACTGTCCTGCGGCCTGCCTGTATTTGTAAATAAGTTTTCCTAGAACCAAGTCATGCCCATTCATTTATGTGTTTTGTTTGCTATTCCTACTCCAAGAGCAGCAGAGTTGGGAGTCCATGCAGAGTTTGTATGGCCTGGAGAGCCTCAAATATTCAGCCTGACCTTTGCTGATGTTCACCCACCCCCTGCTCTGGAATAGTAGGTCTTTTTAACCCTTTTACTTGTAGACCTATCTAATTGTCAGTCAGGCTAGCTATGGGATGTGCATAGTTCTAAGCACTTTATAGTGACTGTCTCATTTAGTTCTCATATTAATCCTAGGATCCTGGATAGTCCTCATTTTGTAGATGAGGAAATGGAGGCACACAGTGATTAAGAAACTCAGCCAGCTTGCTCATCTCCCTTCACTTCTGGGAAGTGTTATTTGACCCTCCTTATGCAAAAGGCTTGACTTCTCAGACCCACTTGCTTAGCTCATAGTGGACACCATGGTTTGCTTTGATCTAGGATTTTTATAATTAGAACTGAGATGGGCTTGGCCTCCCAGGGAAGAAGCTGAGTGGCACTGGGCTTAAATGCAGCAAATACAAGCAAGCTGATCTGTAGTGTGAAGAAGTGTAGCTCATAGCAGAGAGAAGAGTGCATCCTGGATGCTTGCCACTTGGTTACAAAAGAAAATACTAGTTAAGTAATAATAAGCACTGGCCAGGTGTTTGCCTGGTGTGTATGGTGAATGAAACAGATGTGCTTTTTCCCTTACGGTCTTATGGGGAAGACAGACACAAAGTGTTTTTCACGTGTGATAGACACCATGAAAAAAGGACTGTGCAATTGTTTGCTGTTTTAACAGGTTTCTGTCACTTGTGAGATGGAGATAAGCTGTATAACTATCTCGGGCTTGTGCAGATGGAGATGATGTGAGTGTATATGGCACGCAGACTTGCTCAGTACCACTGCTAAGAGGTAAGCAAGGGAGTGGATCTCAAGAACGGTATACATTATGACACTTGAAACATTATAGTCACCAGTTGTAATTTGTAGAGATTCTTGGGTTGCACAGGGTGATGTTTTGAGTGCTTTCTGATTTAGTTAAGACTCATCTAGCAAAATCCAAAGTTAGAGAGGTTTTGTACGTTTGGTTGAGGAATGGGCCTACTGATGTCTTTGGGCCTGATGCAGCCTGTCTGGGAGGCCCTGCTGTGCTCTGAGGGCAGTGGGGTTGTGCCTGTGTGGTTTAAGTCAATCAGCTGCAGAGCTGAACAAATACCCAGGCCCTACCCTCAGAGACTCTATTTCATTTTATCTAATGAGGCTCTGACATTGTTTTATTTTCTTACTGTTTATTACCCCCAGATGATTCTGATGTACAGGCAGGATTGAGAACCAGCCATGGAGAGAGACAGAAAAGCAGGAACAGAGACACACAGACAGACAGACAGACACACGCTAACTGACTCGGACCACTTGGAGCACAAGCACAGAGCTGTGAAATGGGGAGTGCCCATCTGTGGTTGAGCATAGTTGTGGGAGAGTCCTGGGGGCACTTTTTGTCACCTGGCTAGGCTCCTGGGCTCCATGCAGAGGGCACTTTGAAAGACTTTTTTTTTGTACCGGGGGTGGAACTCAGGACCTCACGATGGCCAAGCAGGTGCTGTGCCACTGAGCTAAATCCCCAACCCTGAAGGGCTTTAAGCAGCACAAGGAGAGACTGTCTTGCAGAGTTCTGTACTGCAGGATGGTCCCTCTGTCAGAGCACCAGCAATCAGGGTGAAGGCAGTAAAGAGGCAATTGTAACTGGCCAGATGGTGGAGAGCCTAAGCACAGTTAGGAATCCACCTCCTGTGTGTTGTCATTGGCCAGTTTCTTATTGTTATACCCACTAGGCCGTCAGCTCCTCTGAGGCCAAGACTCTTTAGCCTCAGCCCCCAGGACATTCTAGCTACTTGATAATATTTGTAGAGTGAATTATGAAAACTAAAATGGACATGCAGCTGACTTTGTCCTCGGATGGCAGTTCTCAAGATTTTGTGTCCCATTGGCTTCCCTGTTACAACTTTTCAGGCAGTAAGTGCTTTATATCCATGTGGTTATTCCATAAGGAAAATAGAAAGTTCACTAGGATTTAAGTGCTGTGAAAACTATGGAAGAGAATGGCAAAAGTAGTATGGGGAATCTTCAAAATCTTAGAATGAGTGAATGATCCGACACTTCCACTTCTGATATATATGCAATAGAATTGAAAGCAGGGACTGGAGGGGATAGTTGTACACCCATGTTCACAGCAGCCCAAAGGCAGAAGCAACCCAAATGCCCATCAGCAGATGATGTGACCCTAACATGTAGTGCAGTGTTGCTTAGCCTTAAGAAGGAAGCAAATTCAGACACATGGTATAACACGGATGAGCCCTGAGGATCTCATGTGAAATAGAATAAGCCAAACACAAAAGGAGAGGCACTATGTGGTTCCACTTCTGTGAGGTCTGAGAGAAAGTACAGTGGTGGTCGCTGGGGCAGGGAACAGTTGTCGTTTTGATGGGCACGAAGTTCAGCTCTGTGGGATGAAATGTTGCAGAGTTGCAGAGATGGCTGCACAGCGACACAAATGTGCTTAACCCTGCTGAGCTCCATACGTAAAACGGGTTAAAGTGGTAATTTCATGTTTTATATATTTTACCACAGTTAAAATGTTTAAATAAATATGAAGAAAAGGCAAATGAACAAAACATATGCAAGCTGGGGGGTAGCTCAGGGGTGGAGCACTTGCTTAGCACGCGCAGGGCCTTGGGTTCTGCCCCAGCCTGGAAGGAAGGAAGATGGAAGATGGCAAAGTGCTTTTCGGTTGTTACACATGAGTGCATTAGCTTCTGTAAATTCATGTAAGTCCAGTAAAGTGAAAGCTTTGCTAGTAAGATAAAGTACTGCTTTCATAGCCCTGAAGCCCCAAAGCTGCAGTTTAAATCCCCCTTCAGATGCTCTGGCCCTCAGCTTGACTTCTCCAACATCTGATGCTGCCACTTAGAGAAATGCCCTGGTCTTGAGGGCGTGTGTTTTTATTTTTCTGGGCTATCCTGCCTGTTTTTTGTTATCAAGCCTTTGATTCTTAGGAAGACCTTTTTTACTGTTTGCAGTCTCTGAAAACAGAGTTTTCAAAAGGAAAAAATTCTCTTTAATCCTCAATAATTCTCAATTATTAGGAGAATTTCTGAAGACCCTGAATTGATGGTCCACCGAGTAACAGTTAAACTGGCTTTAAAAAACAAAAGAACAACTACTCAGGTTTTCTCCGTAGCAGTGTCAAAAATTGCAAGACACAGACTCTCAGGCATTGGTGAGCTATCCCTGCAGGGAAATGGCAGTGGGAAGGAAGCTCATAGTTGTGGCCAGGGCTGTTTAACCTCCTGTTTGGGGACAGAGTTTAAGGGGACACGCAGCTATTTGAGATTCCGTGATCACCTTGTGAGGAAGTGGTGAATTCACGTCTGAGCCCCAAGTGGCAGGTGCTGTAACCGCCTTTAAGAGACCATATTCTCCTTCCAGAGAAGAGGATGGGCGGGGTTGACTGATCTTCCCATACTGTTTCTCACTAGGCAGGTATTTCCAGTGTGTGTTACTCATAAATGAAATCACACACATGCTCCTCACAGAAAAGAGTAGAAGAACCCAAACTCTTAGCATTCAGAAAACGCCACTCTTTAAAATTTGTGTATCTCTGTCCTTTTTGCATATGATTCTAACACCTTTATTCAGAGGCAATTCACATATTATACAGTTCACTCATTTATTTTATTTTTTAATACAACCGTGGCTTTTATTGTCACGCATTAGTTTCATCATATTTACACAACATAGGACCCTCTGTATGATTCTGATAGAATTTTTTTTTCTATTAAAATTTTTTTTCTTTCAACATGTTTGCAATTCATGCAGTTTACAGTCATTTTAGGAGTAGTTATATTGATCTATTTTAGCTTGTTTCTTTTTTTTAAATCCCTTTCTCCTTTCCTCCTCCTCCTCCCTCCCCCACCAGTTCCCCTCTCCCCTTTTCCATACTTGTTGATAATACTTGTTTTCACTCATGTCATGATGTATAGTGTTTACATTAATTGGGATTATTAGGTTCCTGTTCTTTATTCTACCTATTTCCCCTTCCCCCTCCTCCTCACCCCTTGTCCTTGTTTGCTTAGACCACTTCCCTATTGCAAGAGATCCATCCTCTTGTCCCTGACTACCCATCCTATATCATTTTCTTTGTACTTTCTTCTCTCAAGTAAGAGTTACCGTGCAGTATTTAAGCTTGCATGTCTGCTTTATTTCACTCAATATTGTATTTTCTGGATGTATCCCCTTTCCTATGAATGTCTCAAATTAGTCATTCTTTATAGCCAAGTAGTATTCTATTATATATAGATACCACATTTTGTTTATCCAGTCATTTGTTGATGAGACCCATTTGTTTATCTATTTATTTGCTTGGTTTTGTGTTTTGAGACAGCGTCTCACTATGTCTTCCAAGTTTGCCTTGAACTCACTATGTAGCCTACACTGGCCTCAAACTTGTGACAACCCTCCTGCCTCAGCCTCCCAAGTGCTGGGGTGACAGCTGTGTGTCACCCTGCCCAGCAATCACCCATTCAAGTGGTTCTTAGTATGTTCACAGTTGTAACCCATTATCACAATCAACTTGGGATCATTGCCACTGTTCCGCAACAAAAGCCCTGTACCCCTTAGCTGCCACACCCCTCTCTCTCCAACCCCCCACTTCCCTTCTCCCCCAGCCATACCTAGTTCAATCACTATTTCTGTCTCCATAGGTCTGGTTATTCTGGATGTTTCATATAAAAGAAATCATACAGTATATGATGTTTTTGTGTCTGGCCTCTTTTTCACTTGGCATAATTTCCTCAAGGTTCATCCATGTTGTACCATAAATCAGTACTTCATTTCTTTTTGACTAAAAAATATTGTATTATATGGATATACTACATTTCACTTATTTACTAATAAGTTGATGGGCATTAGGGCTTTTCCATTTTTTGGCCATTATGAGTAATATTACTGTGATTCTAAAAAATGGTTTTGCTGGCGGGGGATTTAGCTTAGTGGTGCTGCTGCCTGTCTTGCAAGCACAAGGTACAGAGTTCGACACCTGGTAACAAAAAACAACAACCAAAAAAAAAAAAGTTAAAAAAGATTAATAAGTAAATAAAAAGAAAAAGTAAAACAAATGTGTGTGTGTGTGTGTGTGTGTGTGTGTGTGTATTGCATGGACATATGTTTTTGTTTCTCTTTAGTAGATTCATTGGATCACATGGTAAGTCAGTGTTGAAATTTTTCAAATAACATTATGACTGTCCTCCCATGTTATTCTCTAAAAGTATAATTTTAAATTGTTACATTATATCATCTTAAGAGTGTGCTATATTTTTAACCATTCTCCTATCTTGTGGCCTAATTTTTTTCTGAGTTTGAAGAAAATTCTTGTATATACATTCTCCACGTTTCTCATTTCCTTGAAGTAATTTTACAGATGTAGAATTACTGACTAAAGGTACATTTCATTTTAGGGTAATCATCAGATGGTTTCTTGGGAGAGTGCATTAATTTCTCCTGTAATTATGTTGGTGTTGTTATCCTGTATATGTTCAGTGAGTATTTAATATGAAATGGAGCCCAAGCAATCAAGAAGATTGAGTCCCTGCCATCAGGATGTTTATGTTCATATTTAGACCAGGCAGATGAATATTAATCGAGGGCTTTCATGTAGGCAAGTTACATTATGTAGAAATTAGATGAAGTAAATATTTGCCTGCCTGGGATGAGATTCATGGAGACACAATCATCTAGCAACTTCTTGTACTGAAAAGTTCTTTTCAAAAACAAAACTGTAGGAGCTGGGCTCCGACAGGAAGATCCCAAGTTCAAGCCCATCCTGTGCAGCTTAGTGACTTAGCCAGATTCTGTCTCAAAAAAAAAAAAAAGTAAGACATAGATGGGATATAGCTCGAGATGTGAAGGCCCTGAGTTCAATCCCTAGCCCTGAAAACCAAAAACAAAAACCACCCTATGTGAAAAACCAGTTAGTCCAGAGCCATAAATCCTCTGGATTGTTTGCCCCATTGTTGAGAAGATTCCAATGCTAGCTTCAGCTGCTTCCCAGACTGTGCTTTCTTAACATTTCTTTAGCTTCCCTGAGACATTTGCACCCTTCTTTCCTCTTGATTTTTCTTCTTTCATGTGCAGAAAAGTAACACTTTCAAGATTATAAAATCAGCAAGTATTTCGGTTATATTGCTGAATATGAGGGAAAAAACAATCCAGTGTTGCTCAGCATTATCCTATTGATGCTGACACGGCATGATTTCATCCCGACCATGATCATCTAGTTCCACCCAAATGAGCTGACTGATCTTGATCTAGAACGACATTGATTTGTACAGTTGGAGGTACAAAAAGTTAGAGCTGATCCTCCAGTGAGCCTCGTAGTGCCAAAATGGTTTGTAACGCCATTTTTTTACCCCCCTTCAACTACCAAAAGTGAAACTATCATTCCACATCGCAGATTTGTCCTGTGACATATCACACCCACTTCCATTACATTGCTCCTTCAGAAAACTGTGTTAAGTAACTGGCAGAAAGTGCTCTTTCGCTATCCAGGAGCTGTGACTAGCGAAAGTGGCCTTAAGAAAACTGAAACTTCTTTGTCTCTTTGCAGCTGTAAAGATGTCTGACACAAACCACACAGCTGCCAGAGCTTCCCTTATTGAGCAGCTGATGGCTAAAAGGAATTTTGAGGACCTTGGCAACCATCTTACCGAGCTAGAGATGGTTTATGTGACTAAGGAGCATCTCCAGGAGACAGATGTGGTCAGAGCTGTGTACAGAGTCCTCAAGAACTGTCCCTCAGCGACTTTGAAAAAGAAAGCCAGGCATTTGCTGTTAAAGTGGAAAGCTCTTTATAAGGATACTCACTTCAAAACAAGGGACAGCTCTACATTGTCCTCTCCAGGCGGTAGTAAAGAAGAAGGTGCAGGAGTTTCTCATGACCAAAGTCAAGATGAGATCGCCGGCACCTGCGCCTCTAACTCTCTGCCCTCGCCCCAGGATGTTGCGGCCCCCACCGAAATGATCAGGCCCTCAGGTAGCACTATTCAGATGGACATCAAGAAAGAGCATTTTGGGGGCAGTGACCCTGAATCCACCGGCAATAGACCGAGTGACTTGCAGGATCCCACAGTGCCCATGAGGACCAAATGCATCGAGCTTCTTTATACAGCTTTGACTAGTTCTTCCACAGGTCAGGCAAATGCTGATTTGTGGCAAAACTTTGCAAGAGAAATCGAAGAGCACATTTTTACCCTTTACTCAAAGAACATCAAAAAGTACAAAACCTGTATCAGAAGCAAAGTCGCCAACTTGAAGAACCCTAGAAATTGCCACTTGCAACAAAACTTGCTCTCCAGGACCATGTCTCCAGAAGAATTTGCCAAAATGACTGTCATGGAGATGGCAGACAAGGAACTGAAGAAGCTGAGGGCGGCCTACACGCAGTCCTGCATCCGGGAACATTACCTTCCCCAAGTGAGTGATGGCACACCGACAGATAAAATCAAATGCAGGCGCTGTGAGAAATACAATTGCAAGGTCACTGCGATTGCCAGGGGGACACTTTTCCTCCCAAGCTGGGTGCGGAACTCAAACCCAGATGAACAGATGATGACCTATGTGATTTGTAATGAATGCGGTGAGCAGTGGTACCATAGCAAGTGGTTGTGCTTGTAATTGTAAGTGGATGTTTCCCTAGCAACAGATACCGCAAAGGATAATGACCCTTTTGTGCTTGTTCAGAAAAAAACTTAGATATACTATTTTTTTAAACTTGAAAAAGCATACTTTATTTTAGTGGCAGGTATTTTAATGAAGATTGGGAGGCACAGCTGGGCTTGTAAGCAAAAGTTTTTCAT